ACGGGGCGAGAGCCCTCGGTGCGGGCACGTAGCCCGGGGCTGCCGGCGCTCGCTGCCCGTCTGCTGGGTGGATGGATTGACCCTGGTGGGGCCCGGCGCTGCTGGCCTGAGGGCTCTCGCTCTCATTTCCACCCCCCTTATTTTGAATATTATTTTTTTTTTCTCTTAAATAATTTCAAAATGAAACGATGACCTCAAACTATTCGGTTCGCTTTCCACTTCTAGATCACTTTTTTTGTGAACTGGTGGTGTGGGAGAAGCTGAATGAATGGATGGGTTGGAGCGGATGGGAAGTTTGCATTTCGTGCTCTCCACTTACCACCAGACACCAACAACGCTGTGTCTCTGAAGTGACCTGGAAGCATTGGAGCTGTGTGTCCTGAGGGACCCTGGGAACCTCTGAAGGTAAAAAAGTCTTTGGTAGTATTCTTTCCTAACCCTCCGTAGCCCTGTGTATTAAAAAGAGGATCCTATTCAGTAGCTTTGCCAGCCCTCTCCCCACATCTGCACCTTCTTTTAGGCCTTCTGCCTGTTCTGCTTCCCAAAGAGCAGTCAGTTTGCAAGTGTGTTTTCCCAGAAAATGCCAGCAAATGCAGCCTTCCTCTTTTGTGTTGTTAAGTAAAAGGAGTTTCTTAAATATGGTGGCCTGCTTTTGGCTGAAGGGAGTGATCACTGTAATGAGATAAAAAATAGATGTATTTTCTTGTTGCTTTCTGCCATGGTACAGTAACTTCTTAAAATGCTTATCCCTTCTCTAGTCTTAGAGTTAATTTTTTTTTTTTGCTGGGGTACTTGCTTTTGTGCTCTTCTGTGGGGTTTTTTTCAACTCTACTGACTTGCCCTTTTTTTTTTCCCCTTCTATGGAGTGCATGTTTCTAGTCATTCATTTGAATGTTGCTGCTAGTTTGGCCTTTGCCTTCTCTTTTATGAGCTGGTGCTTTGAAACCTTTATGTGTCTCACTTCTTTCAAAAGTCAGTATAATTACAATATCCTGTGAAGCACTTTTGCTTGACTGCATGTTTACTACTGCCTTATTTTGTCATATATTCATTGTATTGCTTAGTTTCAGCCATAACCTGTTTGAAATGGCTTCTACTGTTAGAATAACATGTGCTGGCAGTGCCACGTGAACAAACCTTTTGTTAAAAACAAGGAAGGTTCTTGCTGACAGCCTATAAAGGCAGAGTATTTCTATTTGTTATCAATCTTTATGTCTTTATAATTAACATAATCTTTGGTAGTAGTAATGTTATTTTTGGTAAGTTTATTCTAAGGCATCACCTATGTAATTGTTCTGCATAGAACCTTTTGCAGAGTGTGGCATAATCTCATAAGGTGGCAGTGTCTTTCTTCATGGTCTGCTCTGGTAACTATTCCTGACTATGCTCGCTACTTCCATTGAACTCTGCTTGGGGCTGGAAGGATGGTTCTCCCTTCAAAAGAGCAAAGGACACCTCGTTAAAGTGGGGGTGTGTCTACTGTAAATGATGATGCATTGGATATACTCAGTGAATGAGCAGAGTAGTCAAGTCTACTACGCTGTGGCAGGAAGAACTTCTAGTTCAAAGTTTTGCCTAAAGTGTTATAGAGTTCCTCATCTCTTCTGTAAGTAGTTGAAGCATTAGGCAGAAGCATTGGGGGACCTTTGTTATAAGGAACTGGGGGTGTGCTCTTACCTTGGCACTGACTTGTCCATACTGAAAATCCATGTGTGTTCTTTCTGGGACAAAGGCCACACAAAGCCACCCGCTAGATTTTGGGGACTGTAGCTGCTTTCCACCCATCTCTGGAGCTGTGCATTACAAGGATTGAATGTCAGTAGACAGCCATGTCCCTTTTACCAAGTGGGTAGTGAACACTGGGCGGTGCTTTAATTTACTGTTTGATGTTTAACCCTTCGTTTTGCTTGTGAACTGCTCTTGGTTGCCAGCTGACATCAACTCTGCCAAGTCCACTCTATGCCAGTGCACAGAAGGCTGTCCAGAAGCGTGTGGTTGCGTTTTAATGATGCTCTGGTAGGGATATTTCCAGGACCAGTCTTCTGCACCTGGCAGCAGGGACGTTGTATCTGAAAGTAAGATTTTTGAGCCAGTTGTTTTCTTTCTGTATGGTAGGTACAAAGTTGATAGGACTTTGTTATCATAAGCATTTATATTGAAAGGCAGCGGCAGCAAACCAATGGCCCGATAATGTCCTGCATGTTCTTTTTCATGAGACACTACTCTAAGAATGGAGCTTGTGAATTCTTGTGATTTCTCCTTCCAGAGAGAGCCTTTTTTTAAAGAGAGGAGTCTGTTGCAGAGGGTTCCTCTTGCAGTGAATGTGACTGCAATATAGTGGAAAATCCAGACCAGCCTGCTCACCAGCTTGTTCTGCTGCTTGCCCTGAGAGTGAGTTCCCAGAGGATCTGCTCAGCTCTGAACTCAGCTGGGCAGGAACCTTGGAGATGCCACTTGCCCTGTTTGCTTCGTGAGGAGTTTGTGAGGTGAGGGGATCCCTCGGTGAACTTGGTGGGGATGAACAGCGAGGTCAGCCTTACACAGCAACTTGCTCTCTCCCTGTTCTGCTCATCCAGTGTCCTGTGTACCTTGAGCTAGATGCTGAGATATCAAAGGAGATTGGAAGTACATAACCAAGAATTAAACATTGCACAGAGTGTTTGCTTTCAAGTCTGGACTTGATTCTCTGTCTTCTAGATAAGTAGGCCCAGATACAATGCTTTCTCCTTTTCAATATTTGTCCTAAGCTGTTCACAGCTTGTGGATTATTGTTGAAGTGCAGTTGTGGTATACAAACTTTGCAGTATTTTAAATGGGTGCTGCTTGTCAGTTCACAAAAAATCAGTTCTGTTGTTGCTTGTTGCTAAGGATGCAGTTAAATGAGGCGTACTCTCTGTAATATCCCTCCTTGAAAAGGGAAATGAGACACAGGGGTTGATGTGGGTACACATCATCTCTCCTCCCCAAGCCTGTTTGCCAGTTTCAACCAAATAGAGGAGCAGATAGGAGGGAAAAGAAATAATGACACTGTTAGCAGGAAGTACTGGTGCCTTTGAAATTCCCTGCTTTAATTTCCACTTTGCTTCGTAGTTCAGAATTTCTTATTGGCAGGTCTGACTTTAGGGCTCATGTTTTTCCCTGTGAATGTTGTGTTTTAAGGCATTTTCTGTTTCCAGTTGCGGTTCTTTGAGTTGCAAAGAAACTAGACCAAAATATTTTGATCAAAGTGTGTGGGAGAAGGGAGGTAGAACAAGCAATAGACAAGAGCTGATTAGATAGTAGCTGGTGCCAGGAGGGTAGCTCTAGCTGCTGAGTTAACTTGAATTGATTTTTTTTGTTTGTTTGTTTTGGCAAGTGCATCCAGCCTGATTGATCATAATCCATAAATTCAATCGAGCACAGAAAACACACGAGCACAACAGGCATCTGAGAGTCCTCTGATGTATTGCACTATCAGCAAAACATTCCATGTATTAGCAATCAATTACTCATTAGAGTCCCAGTGTTGGCATAAGCATGTGTGGTATCTGTATTTTCTCATGCCTCCTTTGACCCTGAATTTACCCCATTTGTGAGCACGACCCTGCAAAGGAGTACAGAGGTGACCCCTAATACAGGGAGCCGGGGCAACGTCCTCATGCCAGCACATGAAAGCCTGACATGAGGATGTTTCCAAAAGTTTTGGAAGCTTTTGTCATCTTGTTCCCATGGAAAAGGGCACCTGTCCACATTGTTTTAGTACTTCAGAAACACCACTGTATGTATTGTGCCATTATTGCAGCATTTATCATCATTTCCAAATTTGGCTTCCAGTGCTTCCTTTGAGCTCTGTCTGCAGTGCCTAGATACATTTCTCTGCTTCCCTAAAGGCATTCTGGCACCTTGGCATGGCTGCCCTTTGTCAACGGTCTGGAAGAGTTTTTTTGGCATGCTTGGGGTTCTTATCTTTGCTGTAAAACATAAACACAGGCTGTGAAAGCTGTATGGGATGGCAGGTTAAAAATAACTGCTCCCCTTGGTAATCCCTTAAGGAAAGGTAAGTCTTCTGGCCGGGCGCTGTGGATGGGTTCTCTGCAGTTCCCTACAGCTGGGATCACAAATGGCAGTGAGCTGTGCCACCTGCTTTGGGGACAGAGTTGCTGTTGCTCTGTCAGTTGTTGCTCTGTCTCAGAGAGAGCAGCCAGCGCAGGGTGGCTGGAGGAGGGTGATATCCCTGCCTTGAACTTGCAGATCCAGCGGATGCTGACTAGTACTGTAGACTTGCTCAGTGTTCATTTGATTCCAGCCTGTTGGAAAAGGAAGACATGCATATCCTGAGGGGACATTGCGTAAGAGGAATGATGTCACAAGTTTGACACTGCTGAGATAACTTTGGGTTTACTGTCAGAGGAGTTACTCACTTGGCCTTCTCTTTCCTTACAGCAGCACGGGCGCAATGATGGATAACCGCTTTGCTACAGCGCTAGTAATTGCTTGTGTTCTCAGCCTCATCTCCACCATCTATATGGCAGCTTCCATCGGCACCGACTTTTGGTACGAATACCACACCCTGTCCCCAGCTGAGAATGTCAGTGAAGCTGGTAGGACCATCTGGGATGAGTTTGTCAGTGAAGATGCGGATGAGAAGACCTACACAGATGCGCTCTTCAAAAAAAAGTTGGATTGTGGCGGAGGTGTATCACTGTACCCAAAAACTCTCACTGGTACAGCCCACCAGGTATCTCTGGAGCAACTAACACTTCCCTAGCTTGCCTGGGGTGGTACGTGCTAGCTTCTTCAGAACATGTTCCTGCTACTTTGTTCCTCCAGAAGGCTGATTTCTAGCTTATGTGTTTTTTTTAAATAAAGACAGTCTAAATTTTTAAAGAAGCGGAAGGCAAAATGATTTGACACTTCCCTAGCTTGCCTGGGGTGGTACATGCTAGCTTCTTCAGAACATATTCCTGTCACTTTGTTCCTCCAGAAGGCTGATTTCTAGTTTACATGTTGGTTTTTTTTTAAATAAAGACAGTTTAAATTTTTAAAGAAGCGGAAGGCAAAATGATCTGTGGTTGTCAGTGCTACAGACTCTGGATTTGACACATGATACTTGATTTAAATTTAGTATAACTTTGCTCTGTTTTGTTATCTGCTGTCCAACTGGGGATATGGTTGTAGTTGCTCTGTCACTCACTGTCTTTTTAGGAGAGGTCCTGGGATCCAGCAATGGAATAAAGATACTACTTTATTAAGGGGGCACCCACTCCTTTTAGGTAGTCATTCATTTTGCTCTCCTGTCACAAATGTCCCACTGTTGCATCAGCACATTTTGGACTCCTTCTACCATAGTGCTAGATATAGAATGAAATATTTCTATTCTTTTTCACAATGGTTAGGGGCTAAAAAAGTGTGGTGAGCAATCATTTTAATTGCTTCAAAGTAGATTTCGGACACATAATGTGTGTACAAAGCCCTTAATTTTGAACACCCTTAAAAAAATGTACTTTCAAACAATTTTTCTGGAGGAAAAAAGAAAATGACATGTAATACCTTCCCCCCCCCCCCCCCCAGTGAAAATACTTGATTTGGAAGATATTTAAACCAGCTCTGCTCAAAGCAGAATGTGTGTAAAGAAGCAAATATTTTCTGTTCTTTAGTCCTTTCCATCCCATTTTTGAATGAAGTGTTTAGTACATTTCTATATGCTGCACATGGAGATAAGCACAGCTTAATTAAGGGACTCGTGAGTACAAGAATATGTAACTACATAATTGAGCATCATATGCCACACTTCTTTACTAATCTGTCAAGCATGTCACAGTTCTCTCTGGATAACCCAAGTAAGCTTGAAGGTTTTGCATGTTGGAATGCTGCCCCTCATTGTAGTAACTGTTATGCTGACTACCTTGTGATAAGGCATCCTACAGATCTGTTTTGGGAAGTGATATTTTTCTCTCAAATGGAACTTTTGAGGAGCTTCCCAGCTCAAATGATTGGGAAAAGAAGGATTGAAAGGTGGGTGCGGGGAGACACCTAATGGTAATTTTTTCCTTTTTTTCCCTAGAAACTGATATGACTACAAACTGCATCAGTTTTTCCCTCTCTGATCAGTTTATGGAAAAGTACATAGAGCCTGGAAATCACAACAGTGGCACAGATTTGAATCGGACTTGTAAGTGTCTGTCACTTCTGGCAGGTAAACAAGTAGGATAAAAAAAAAGAAAGAAGACATTTCTCAAATACAGTCACTAGTGAGGAAAGCATCTTGTCTTGCTCTGCATTTATTTTTTACAGTAACACTCTCAGTAGGTCAAAGTTTGAAAGGAAAACTTAGATGCTTTAGCAAGGGTTTTGCCCATGAATGCAGTACAGGAGTTTGGGCGTTAACAAATGAAGGTCTTTCTATTTCAGAGGAACCTTTGGTCCTTTTTAGCTGTGAATGTGGAATATCTGATGAAACAGAAGCAGCATGGGTAGAGGGGAATGTAAGATGGTGGGAGAAGATCAGTTTCTAGCACATGTTCAGCACAACACACTTGTGTGTTTCTTTCACGTGCAGATCTCTGGCGATTGCAGTTTCTCCTGCCCTTTGTCAGCCTCGGCCTCATGTGCTTTGGGGCTCTGATTGGGCTCTGTGCTTGTGCCTGTCGCAGCCTTTACCCGGCCATTGCCACTGGCGTCCTCCATTTCCTAGCAGGTAGGTTTCCTGCCATCCTCGACTTACCCTTCCTCCTCCAAGAAGCTCCTAGTGACAGCCAGAGCACTTCAGCGGTGAGCTCATTGTGCTTTGCTGCTTCCTTCCCCAGGGCTCTGTACGCTGGGCCTGGTTGGCTGCTATGTAGCTGGGATTGAGCTGCTCCATAAGAAGCTGCCCCTGCCTGATGATGTGAGGGGTGAATTCGGCTGGTCCTTCTGCCTCGCCTGTGTCTCAGCACCTCTGCAGTTTATGGCAGCTGCTCTTTTCATCTGGGCAGCTCGCACCAACAGAAAAGAATTCACTCTCTTGAAAGCGTACCGTGTAGCATAAGTGCTGCTACCGAAGTACTGGATTTCTGTGTTTTAGCCTCTTCTCCCCCCAACCCTTACTACTTCTTTCTTTTAGTCAGAATTTTACCTTGTACTGCATGCTTCTTGCCAGTTGAAACAATTTAGCCTGTAGGCCCTGAAGACAAAGACCTCTGGGCTAAATGACCAAACTCTGACAGAAGTCTGCAGAATTTGAACAAGTTTTTAAATTGTTTTGTTTTGGTTTTTTTTTAAGAATTAGTAGTATTGTTTTTTTAAGCTTCATTTGGTTGTTGACTATCCCCTTGATTAGGTGTACATGCCCCTTCCTAATTTTATTACCCTGTCAGCCTGGAGGACATAGGAGTGGCATTGTGGGGTGGAAGAGAGAGGAAAGGAAGGTAGGCAAGAATGGGAACCTCCGTGCACAAATACTAAATAACCAGGAGCTCTCTGCTCTGTCACCCACGCAGGCAGCAACTGCAGAGACCACCCAAGAGACATGGGGGAACTTGGAAACCCCTGTTATGGAAATAATGTGGCTAAGTCAGTCCTGTAGCTTAGCTTTGGGTCTCTTACTCTCACTAGTTTGTTACTTTTTGTGGCTTCTGCCAAAATTGATGCAGGCAGAGCAGCGGTCCGTGGGAGTGCCTGCACAGCACACCATCCTCAGCACAGACTCTGCCGAGGAGCGGGTAAATTGTCCCACGTGGAGCTTTGTGCTGCTCTAGCTACACTGCTTCCAGCACCCAGGCTAGTTTGGTATCTGCACTACAAACCATTGTGCACTCTGATCTTAACTGGTGGTGCTTTTGCTTGCTGTGAAATAAGGTTTTCCTCTCTCTTGTGTTGAAAATGACCCTTCACAAGTTTTTTGGTTTTAGTTTGGTTTCGTGTATGTGTGTATATGTACATATATAAACTTAACTTTTTTTTAAAGCTCACCTCTTTGTCCTATATAGCACACAACAGGGTTTTTTTAAAAGGTGCTGCTCTTTTCCCATCTTGCCCCAAACCTATTGTTTAAATGAATAATAATAATAAAAAAAAAAAGCTCAGAAATTTTCAGCATTGTATGAATCTGATGGGAGGGTGGGGGAATGGTCTGGACTGAATTTTACTTGGGGAAAGAAAATCCAATGTCTAGATCTTTCTGTTTTCTGGGAAATGTCACCAGAAACAAAGATATTTGTTTAGATTTTTTTTTTAAATTAAATTCTTGAGCTCCTGCTAACTTCAGATTTTTTCCTGCTTATCATTGCGGGGTGCAACACCCCATAATTAGTTCACAACTTCTAGACATATTTCTTCTAAATCACTACAACTCCAGCCAGACTTGGGTGGCATGTCTATCTAGAAAACAATATTCCATGACTAAATTGTTTAATCCTGAGCACTTAACTTCCCTTGTTTCCTTACTACATGCTTAATAGAAGAAATTTGTCTTAAAAGAAGTAAATCCTGACAAAGTAAATCCGTGATGGCAAGGATTCTGTGAGATGTTGTTGAGAATGATACAGAAATATGCATTTTTATCTCATGGCTGGTTTTTGGGTCAGCAAACAGCCCTAGTCACTAGTTCCCTGATGATCAGGGATATCTGCTAGTATAATTTATTTTTTTTAATCACATGTGTGACTGGTCATCCTACTTCTCCTTTTATTAACATCATTGGAGTCTTTACAAAACAAAATGATGATGAAAACCAGGACCACTGGAAGAGCAGCGGTGGGTCATTCAAGGTAATCCTCTTTCTCCTGCTGTTGAGTAATTTTTCACCTTTCCTCCTCAAGCAACTGCTTTCCCTGTCTACAATGTCTGGACCAATTCTAACCCCGTGAGAGGGGATACAAGTATCTAAGAGTAAATGAAAATCTGTGCTGCTGATATGTACTGACACGGTGCTTTTTCAGAGTCAGTAGTTATCTCGGACTTAGGCATATAAGGCCTAACTGCTCAGCTTGTCTGGTTCCTCATTTGTCAGGCATGCTAGCCTCAGCTCGGGTCAAAGGACTGGAAGGTGCTGTTCTGCACTTTGAGAGGAAATGCTGCTGGTTATTTTATCTAGTACAGTTTGGGGTTTTTTGGGTTTTTTTCAGGAGCCGTCAGAATATTCAATGATTTGAATCTGAGCAATGGGAATCCTGTGCCCTTGCTCTCTTCTTTTGCATCAGCACCTGTTTTCTGAAGTGCAAATCTCAGGTTTTTAAACATTTTCTTGCTTCCAGAAGAAGGATTGTTATGGAGAGAAAAGGGAATGTTAGAGATGCTGTCAGTCCTTTCTTGATCATTTTCAGTATCAGCAAAAATAAGATTGCCTGGTTTTGTCTGTGTCTCAGATTAATGCTGCTGGTTTTCTCTGCCTTGAAATGAAGAAAACAGGCTTTAATTAATCTCCAGCATTTGGACCATTTAACTAAAATGAGGGTCATCTTTTAGGATTTGGGGTTTTGGGGGGTTTTTTTGCCTTCACTCTTGTGAATATTGCTTCATGAGAGTGGATTTTGGTGAGAAGCAGATTTCATACAGAAAGAGGACTAACCCTTTCCGTTGTCTGGGGTGATGGATCTGCAGGTAGCTATCTTGCTTTGTAACTGCGTGCTTTGCTCAAGGTGTAAAGGGAGCAAGAAGAGTTCTTGGACTGCTGGCTGAGATCCACTAAATGGTGTTGGAAGAGGACAGAAAAACAGACTAGACACTGAGGATGGAGTAATTCTATAAAGAGAGATGATTAAGCGCACTAACAGATACTGAGACAGATCTTGACCCAGAGTGTGTGGTCAGGCCCTTCACACCAGCAGATCTTCATGCCATGTTCAGAGATTGGTTGCATTCAAGAGAAGCTTGAGGCCTGTGTATGTTTGTGGTTACATACATATACACAAACACACACAACCTTGCTCAAAAAAGTGAAGAGCGCTCCAACTCTGGAAGAAAGTGGTGAGATCAAAGGGTGGTTTGTGTTCCTCAGTATTTTGTGGTCTGACTGTGGGAGATGCAGGACTAGCAGAAAGCTGCACAGAGCAATGAAGTGTTTGGTCTCAGCCTCTTCTTATTTTTTCTGCAAAGTGACATTTTCCCTGTCCTCTCCCCCTGCTCCAAATAGCTCTGAGAAGGGACGAGTCAATGAAGCTGCGAAGAGAGGGTTTTATTGTTGTGGCTGTAAAGACAACTCCTACTGGTATAAGAAGAGAGATCACTGAAAACTGAAAAATCGTCACTCCCATTCCCTTACTTCCAATAATAAAGCAGTAGTACAGAAAAAACACAAACATTTCCCTTGTTGTATGAAGGAGACAGTTTACCACTTATGAAGGGAATAATCAAACACAAACATTTCCCTTGTTGTATGGAGACAGTTTACCACTTATGAAGGGAATAATACGTTGTGGGTGCAAGTTACGGCAGAGTCTTGGATGACCCAAGAGGCCCTTCTAATCTGCTGTCATGCTAGGAACTATGTACAGTAGTCTAGTTTTCCTTCTGGATTGTGTGCCGGTCCTTTCCTCATGGAAGGTCTGTTGCAGTCGTTTTGCTACAGTGATCATGAATGCCTCATCTAAAATGCTCTAAAGTGTGTTTTGAGAAAGGTGTTTTGGGTTTTAACTTTTTTTCTGTCCTTTGTCATTTCTGATGACAAAGAACATAGAGTATTTTGCCACCAAGTTATGTACCAGCTCGCAGCCTGTCACAGAATCACAGAATGTTGTGGGTTGGAGGGACCCTCTTGCAGTGCTGTTGTAGTTCTGTGATTCAGGGCAATGACTTCTGAAAAGCTCTTTCCTGCTCACGAGCATTGTGTGTACTGAGCTAGCACCTGCTATTCAAGGAGAAAATCTGAAATGTCAGCAGCTTGTCATCATTCTATCTCAGGCTGATTGTCCACCTCTATCTGTGTGTATTTCCTGTTTGAGTAGATTGTGTATCTCGACAGACATAACATCTTGAAGCTGCTTTTCTTTTCTTTTATTTTCTTTTTTCTTTTCTATTTTTTTCCATTTCCTCAGGAATAGCTAGAGTTTTGTGCTGTAGAGCTTCTTTGTAACCTGGTTTCTAATAGGAAAAGATCAAAAGTTTGCATGTTTACTACTAACTCTTCTGTTGCTGTGGAATATTCTTCTTACCCTGTATTTTTAAACTACAGCTTTTAAAGCTACAGGATGTAAGGTGAAGCCTTTGTTCAGGTTAGGGTTCAGATACAAGACAGTTGAAGAATGGCTACTCTGTCACTGGAAGACTGGAGAGGTATCTGGATATGGCAGTAACAGCAAAATTACATTTAAAACTCATCTCTCTGCCTGCTGATACATGCCAAACCTTCATACAAACCCGTGACTACTGAAAAAAAACTGATAATAATGTATTCCACTCCTCTCTTTCCTTCTAAAATTGCTACTTTAAAAAACCTCTCTGCCTGCTGATAGATGCCAAACCTTCATACAAACCCATGACTACTGAAAAAAAACTGATAACAATAATGTATTCCACTCCTCTCTTTCCTCTTTCCTTCTAAAATTGCTACTTTAAAAAATAACCGTGGGGACAGTGTTTTATTTATTGATCAGGTTAGAGCAGAGAGTGTCAAAAGTCTCTGTGCTTCCTGCTTTCAGTGCACAGACAAGGGTGAAGGAGATGGTAATTGATTTTTACAAAGGATCCAAGCATCTCTCTAGCTTTGGGTTTTCTGAGGTGAAGATTGAACGTTTTCAAGAAAACAAGAACTTTTTGTTTAACCAAATTATTTATTGCTTAATCAAAACTGTCCTTAAAAAAAAAAGTTTATGAGTTTTTTAATAGCTGCCTTTTTTCCTGCTTTCTCAAGTCTTTCGTCTGCATCTTTTAAAGTGTTTCTTAGATTAGATGGTTTTAGAATATGTTTTTTAGCTTGATGTTTGCAAAGGTGATGATCTCCTGGTGTATTTTGTATCACTATCTGAGAAGAGTAAATCCTTACCTATGTAACTTTTAAATTGACCTACCCATTACATCTGTGATGTAGGCTAGTTCTCAGTATCAGACATGAGTGTTTTTAAAATTTGGAGTACCTATTAGGAATAATATTGATCCAAACATGCTTAATAGCCTTTCAAAAAGTAATTCATGAGGGAGTGTTTCCAGAGCACTTTGTTAGCAAGGGTTCCTCCTGTCCCATGTTATGACCTACCATGTGTCTGAGCCTTTGCAATCAGTCCTTTTTTCCATTCAGCTT